ATACCATGGCCAAATCCTGGGTTTAATACCTAATTTATAGAGGAGACCTTTGTTTGATTTGATGAGCATTCCCTCTACCTTCTTGTACAACAGAACTCCTTTTCTTCTGAAAAGTGTTTCCCCATCCTTCAGTCATATATTTAAAGTTGACTGAGTTTCACCCAGAATCCAAAGATAAGGACTTTAAGTAGACTGACAACTCTAGGATCACCTCTTCACTTATTCCCGCAAAAATTGATTGATTCATGGCTAAGTACAGGAAACCAAACCCACTAATTATGAGCCTCTGGTGAGGTGGTCCTTTCATGCAAAGTGCAGAGCCCATAGTATACTTCCTAGGTAGGAGTACTTTAAAAGTAGTGTGTTAGGCTGACCAGTATATACCAATCTTCCCCCTACAGCTACCTTTTTTCTTACATTTGGGGCAGAGAATCTTGAGGTTTTCATGATTTAAGAGTACTAGGAGTTTGAAGGAGTCCTAGGAGTTCAAGGCTAGTAGCATTTTTACTCATTTGGGGACTATAGTGGAGCTAATTTTTGTGGTACTCATTAGCAATCTACCTGAACAATGGATAGCAAGAGACCAGATTCCACAGGAAATCAATATATTATGTCTTGTTCACATCCAGAAGGAGATGGAAGTGTTAATTTTTCATTAGATACTGACATAGTCATGGTGGTACAATTCTAATCGCAGTATAAGACACTTAGGATGACCAATGATGTTGAACATTTTTTCATATATTTATTTGTCATTTGTATTTCTTCATCTGAGAAGTGTATATTCATCTCAGATACCCATTTTTGGATTGAGTCTTTGAATTTGGGGGGCCTGATTTTTTTTAATTCTTTTTATGTTTAGATATAAGTCCTTTGTCTGAAGGACAATTGGCTATAATTTTTTCCCATTGCATGGGTTGTCTTTTCACTCTGTTGGTGATTTCTTTTGTTGTGCAGAAGAATTTTAGTGAGGTGAGAACTCATTTGTTGATTCTCTGTAGTATTTCCCATGGGGTCTGGGTTTTGTTCATGAAGTCTCTGCCTACACTTTATGTCTTCAAGACTTCTACTATTTCCTCTTCCAGTAGATCTAGTGTTTCAGTTTTAATATTTAGATCCTTGATTCATTTTGACTTTAGTTTAGTGCATGGTGATAATTTTAGTCTTCAGCATGTGGAAAGCCAGTTTTTCCAGTGCCATTTATTAAAGAGACTATCTTTCTTTCAGTGATGTTCGGACCCTTTGTCAAAGATAAGGTGGCTGAGTGTGTTTACAGTTGAGTCTGCATCTTCTAATTTGTTCCACTGATTCTCAGGTCTATTTTTTTTTTTTTGCCAGTACCATGCTGATTTTATCATAGTAGCTTTGTAGTATAATTTCAAGTCAGGGATTGTGATGTACCCTGGCTTGCCTTTGTTGCCCAAAATTGCCTTTGCTATTGTAGGTCTCTTTTGTTTCCAAATGAATTTTAGAAATGTTTTCTGTAGTTCTGTGATGTATGCTAATGATATTTTGATTGGGATTGCATTAAATATGTGCAACAATTTTGGGAATATGGCCATTTTCACTATGTTAGTCCTTCCTATCCATGAGCAAGGGCTATCTTTCACTTTCTCATATTCTCTTAGGGTAGGCCTACATGATCATTTGGACTCCTCTCTTTTTTTGTCTAAGGATAATATCATACGCCTTTCTAAAAGCCTTATATTTGATAACCTGGACAGTATTTGCCTGTGCTGAAGTGTTGGCAAATGCTATGACTTGAATATGGTTTGTGTCCTCTGAAACTCATATTGAAATTTGATTTCCATGCTGGTGCTGGAAAGTGTGGTCTTTAAGATGTGGTGAGGTAGTTAAACTGGATTAATGCCTTTTACACAGGAATGAAGTAGACCATGAGTTGTCTCTTCTGTGTCCCTCCATTTGCCCTTCTGCTTGTCCACTTTATTATGATGGCAGCATGAGGCCTTTGCTGGTGCAGCTGTTTGATCTTGAACTTGTAGTCTCCAGAACCATGAGCTAAACTAATTTACCTTTATAAATTACTACTCTGTTACAGCATAGAAAATAGACTGAGCAGAGGTGGCTTAAATTTCATAAGTCATTTCTAGGTAGTAGATTTGAGTTGGGCAATACCAGAGGAGTGGAAAGTTATTTCTCCATATGGACCTTCTGCAAAAGTACTCACATCTGAAAGTCTCCCAGCAGGAGCACCTGCTAATTGTTTTCCCAGACTGTAAAACAAAAAACTAAAGTGTGGGTGGTTAAACAACCTAGAGCTGTGAAGGCCTAGAGCAAACTGGCACCTGGGTCTATTGCACAAAAATCAGCTGATGAATTTACCTGAAGGCACCACAGGAAGTTCCAACAGCAAGATCCAATGTTCAGTTCTGTGACTGTGTGACAGACTCTGGAGACAAGTGTACTTATGGAGAATCTAGCTTTCTACAGAATGGGTATAACTTGTCTGCTAGTGGTAGAATGGACTCCCTTTGTTACAAAGGTTTCAGTCTTGTGCATAGGCATCATGTATTCAAGTCACATTCCGTAAGCCATTGATTAAATTACACAGGCTGCCAGTCTTTGACATCAACCAGTTCAGCCAGTCCTTCCTGAAATAAGGTGTTAACTTTGGCCTTTCGCTTAAAGGATATATTTGGGTAAAAAGTAACCCCTTTCCTCTCAGAACTGGTAGATTACCAAAGTATGTGGCTGGCTGAGGCGCTGTGGATAGGAAATGAAAGGAAACCATATCTGTGACATACATCAGGATGAAATGAGGAAAAGGATCTTATGTAACAACTTGTCACCAAGTGGAGTGGTTGATCTCTTTGAAGGATGGTACCCTATCAAGGGCTCATGTTGGTGTCTGTCTGTCTCTTTAAAAAAATTATAAACATACATTAATTGTATGAAATAATGTTTCTTTATGGTAGTTTTGTATATGCCTATAATATGCTTTGATTGTATCACCCCTCCCAAAGTTGGAGTCTCTTGCTGGCAAGTCAAACATTGAATAGAAGCAGAATTAGCTCAGCCTGGGTGGGAAGAAATATTTGCTGAGTCAGTCGGTGCAAAGTTCCCATCTCAGCCACTTACTCTGTTCATAAGCTCATGGTCCAAGTATAGGTGATCAAGGACAGAACTAGATGACATCTCCTGCCACAAGTTTTCAGTTTGTTTGGTTGAAAGCTTCTTCTATTGTGGATACTCTCTGGTTAGAATTATTATGTAATACACAATGCACAAGAGTTCTTACCCTTTGTTCCTAGTTTCATAGGATCATCTGCGTTCCTCTGCCCCAGACCTTTCTGCTCCTAATCATCAGGTCTGTACAGATTTCTGCACCAACGACATGGTGGCCAGACAGAGGGATTATAAGATTTTTGAAAGTGTTTCCATACTTTCATGTGTGGTACCCAGAAAACTGTTCACATCTAAATACTCTATGAAAAGCTAAAACACATAGTATGGGAAGCTCTTAGGAAAAGTGGCATTCAGTAAATAAGTTTTTGGAGTTTGTGAGAGAGGCATTTGGGGGCAGGGGAACAAAGGAGGAGGAAGAGCTGCAAGAACACGAGCAAGAAGAGGAGGAGGGGGAGGGGAAGGGGAGGGGAAAAAGGAAAAGGAGGAGAAAGAAGAAAAGAGAGGACACTGAGAGAGGAGGATGAGGGGATAGAAGGGTTCTGGAGTGGACAGAAGGGGAGAGAAGAGAGGAAGGGAGAGATCAGGAAGATGAGATTATTTATCAAGCTAAAGGACAGAGATAGAGTGGTATAAGGCAGAGTAAGGTTGATAGCCAGGGGAATTGTGAGAATATTATGGAGTAGGGCAGTTCTAGAAACAGATCTCCATTCCAACAACCCTCTTCATGATCAATACCTGAAGTTTTTATGTAAAGGGTTTCCTTACCTTTATTTCACAAATTACTAGGACACTAGTGTAACTCAGGTTGGTAGATATGAATTATAAAATTTAATTGTGCATTTATCCAGTACTGCATAATTAATGTATATATGCAGTGTTATTCATATGAGTAAAATAATCCACTGCAGTCTTTTTTTATGAAAAAGGAGCCATAAACTTCTCTTTCCTTATAGATGCCTGTTCTCTAAAGTGGTTTTTCCTTAGCATGTAAAAGTGGATTTAGTTTACAGTTAGCAACAGGACAGTCTTTAAGTGTCTTTGCATGTACCTCTTTTGTTGAAATGGTAGCAATAGAATTGAGGGGGAAGGACTGTGATTGCTAATGAACGGGTTACTGATGGTCGGCTTATGAGCCGCAGCCGTGCTGAGTGCACACGGTGCAGAGTGTGGAAGGCTCGCCCGAGGATTGTTACCATCAGCTGAGAGGCAGAAATGGAAAGGGATAATGAATTACTCCTGTTGGTCTGAGTTACATTCTGGGTTCCAATAAAAGGCGATTGAGATGGGTGATCGGGGCTGCTGCAGTCCCAGAGGCTGTGAGCCCCCTAATCCCAGATTTTTGCCTCTTCTGTTTTTCTTATCATTTACCTTTTGTTATTCATCCACGGGCACCTCATTCTCGAGACCTGTCACTACAGATAATACCAACAAGAATGAATACAGGGTACTAATTGTTCATACTAATAATTGGTAGTATGTATGGCATCTAGAGTCATTATACCTGGAATCTAATTTTAGCTCTACAATTGATTAGCTGTATTCCTTTTGCTCAGCTATGTAACCTCTGTAAATTGCAATTTTCTCCAGGGTAAAATGGAAATAAATATTAGCCATCACAAGAGTTATAATAAGGATTGCATGAAATAATCTATGGGAAGCTTAGCAGAGAACATGGCATAGGATTATAGTTCAACAAACATGTTATTATTATTATTATTATTTAAAAAGTAAATATTACAGAATTATGAAATGATAGAATATTACATTAAAAATTCACTAGTGAATTTGGTGCTCATTTGTTATTGTTGCTTAGAACATGAGTACATATAAAAATTTACTCCTTACACTTTCAGGAATCCTTAAATGTATTACTTAAGCAACTAGAAAAAGAAAAAAGGAGTCTTGAAAATCAAGTGAAAGACTATGCGCTTAGACTGGAACAAGAGTCAAAGGTTTGTTTTTATTCTATACTAAACAGTTCCTTTGAATCTGCCGTTACTTCTAGTGTGATCTGCAATGTTACATACCTGTTTCCTACAGTATTTTAGAAAAAATAGGACAAGTAAACTTCAACTTAATAACCATCTTGCAGATACTGCAAATCTCTTTTGTATTGGATTCTTTACTTTTTATCTTTTGTCTAGGCTTACCAGAGGACCAGCAGCGAACGGCGTACATACCTAGCTGAAATGTCTCAGGTAACTTTTTTATTTTATTTCCAAATTCTAGAGGTATTCTTTGACTACAGATTATGTTTTTCACTTTTCTAGGCTGTTTGTTTGGTAAAGAAACAGATATTAAAATTTTGGAAGAAAAGATACTAAGTTCCTAAATATGGAGGGTCAAAAGAAAAATATTTAACCTTTACGAAGAAATAAAGCCCTGTTATGTACATGTACCAGTTTCTCATGATGAATGTAATCACTATGTATGGCAAACACATACTAATAGAAATAAAATTGTTTTTAAAACTTGAAAAAAGAAAGGTAAAACAGTCTTTTTTTAAAAGAGATTATTTATATATTTTCTTCTTATCCTTCTAGTTTCATCCATAATTACTAGAATTCAAATAGGTATGCCTCTATTCCTTTGCTATCAGGAAATTCCAGGCACTTCACTTCATAATTATGCATGGTAAGAGCTAAAGTAGACACAGCTTTGCAACGGGTAGAACGCATGTGCTTAATACAGGATACAAAAGTGATCAGTAAATTATATACATGTATTTTTCAGCTTTCATTTGCCTTTCAGTTTTATTTATGTCAGAATTATAGAAGTGTTTTTTGTTGCCAGAGCTATCTTTTATTTATAGTTTCTGATGTCATAGCTAAAGAGACCACCCTCATCTCAATATTTTGTAACATTCACCACATGTTCTAGTACCTATATGGCCTAATATTTGGTGTTTAAATATTTAATCTATATTAACTTTATTTTGGTATATGTCATAAGATTAGAATATGAGTTTACTTTTCAGTATGTGGTATCTAAGCAGAAGTGTTCAAAGAGCAACTGAATATATGAATCTTGGGAAAATAGTACAGATTAGAGAGAGAAATTTAGAAATTATTTGCATATAGATAGTGAAGTTATGCGAATGCATGAATGCATGGCATCAGGGAAAATAAGATGGAAAGAAAAAGATAGTCTAGGATATAGCTCTGAAGAATATTAACATAGTAAGGGAGCTGAAAATGAGGATTAGCATTCTCAAAGCAGTTAGTTGGAAAAGGAGATGGAGGACCTTGAAGGGAGAAGGCTTGACGTAAAGGATAATCTACCAATCACTGATCTAGAGTACCTAGAGCAGTGATGGCGAACCTTTTAGACCTTTCAGTGATACAAACAGCTTGCTGGGTGTGCATGCCATAGGTTTGCCACCACTGATAGGGAGATTGATAAAGCAATTCAGAGGAAGAATTAGTTTGGATATTGAAGCCAATAATGTAATATGTAGAAAAAGTTGAAAATGAAACTTAGGGCTACAGTGAATAAAGGGAAACTTGGATTTGTAGTACTGATGGAGTTTAAGTAGGAAATGGAGTCAAGATAGCATTAATCCCTGTAGTCTCTTGTCCATAAAATGGACAATGAATTCAAATGACCTGGTCCTTGATGCTGGATTGGAAGCACTGCTTTCTCCTGTGGCACAGGTGTCCTTATGCTTTCACTCTGACCCCACACTCTGCTTAGAATATATTTCTTCTCATATATGCCAAATCCACTCCCTTCAAAGTCTAGTGCAGATACTGCCTCCTTTATGAGGCCTTGACATGATGAAAGCACTGTGAACTATGGGGCCATCACAAATTTAGATTTGAATCTGGGCTCTGAACATACTGTTTGTGACTTGTCTGGGTCTTAATTTCTTTCCTCATCTCTGTAGCAAGGAAGAATTAGTATCTGAAATCAGTATCAATGTCAGGATTCTGTAAGTGTTTAGACATAATGCTTGTGAAGTACTGAGTGAAATGGCTGGTGTAATAGTTTCTGAATGGTGAAGATTATTTTCCTGTTTTTCTTTCCAGAATTCACTAGCTCCTGTGTCATGACATCAGAATTTCTGCTTAACTTTTAGTGTTTGCTAAGACGTACATTTGTTTTACTTAGCTGTTGCTTCTTCCCTGAGGTCAGTTAGGGGGCCTGACTCTTGCAACACTTAGTGCAAAGAATGGCATAAAGTCAGTGTTTAAAACTATTTACCAAACTGAACATAATATAGAAATTTATGTAGATAATGTAATGCCTAACTCATTAAAAAAAAGTGATTAGTGCTGGGGATATAGCTCAGCAGCACAGTGCCTGCCTGATAAGTGTGAGGTCCTGAGTTCAATTCCCAGTACCAAAAAATAAAAATAAAAAAACAGAAAGAAAAAGTGATCTATATATAAAACTCCTTCAGTGTAGTGAAGGATATTTTTAAGGTTGAAAGTAAAGTTATTTTGCCCTTGACGCATTCAGTTACCTTTGTTTATCTGAAAAATTCATTTAGGTGGGATAATCCTACTCTGCTATACAGGATCACTGACTATACAATCAAAGCCGATTTTAACAGATTCTCAGGAAGATGTTAATACTGTCCCCTGTATAAATGTTAATAAGGATTTTCACTCTAGAGTGAATTGTTAATCTCTACAGTCAAAGGCAGTTCTGGTCATGCAGATACTATGGTGACTGGAAAGGTTAATGAGTGATTTATAGTTCTTTCTATGTTGACTACATAAATAATTGATTTTCTGGTAGATAACTAAAGCTATTTGCTGAATCTACTGTTTATACTTCTGCTGCTGTCTGTGATTTTTAGATCAGTCTTGATGCACTGTTTTGAGTAAAACTGAGTTTGTCCATCTATGTATTCTTCTAATTTACACAGTGTGTATAGAGTACAGAATCTGCTTTTTAAGAATTCACGGTATACTGTATGACTGAAAAGTCAGGTGTGAAGACTAACAGCCTGTTGAAATACCTCTGAAGTTTAAGATTTAGATACTGTTCCCAGAAATACAGAATTCTGGCAATTGATTTTAGAGATCATTGGATATAATGCTTCTGATTTACTGAAGAGGGACCTGAGATAGTTCTGTTTCACTGTCAGGTAGTTCTAACTGCCAGAATTGTTACCATATCACACGATACTCCTTACTGTCCTTTCTTGTTGAGGTTTTTGTTTTGTTTTTGGTACTGGCATCAAACTCAGGACCTTGTACTTGCCAGGCAGGTGCTCTGCTGCTGAGCTATAACCCCAGCCCTGTTCTCCTTTTTTGAACATCCTTAACATCCATTGGTCTTCCTTTCATTCTCTGAAGAACACAAATCTACATTGCTCTTTCTACATGATAATTGTTCAAAGATTTAGAAACAGTTCTCAGTTTCCCATAGTTTTTATTTTGTTTTGTTTCTGATCTAGACTGTCAAATTACCAACTTAGCCACCTCTCCTGACCCAGGTTCCAGACTGTCCAGGCATTTCCGTTGCCTTTGGATAATTCTCTTTTGTTATTGTTCATCTTAAAATGGAATTCCTCATGTTTAAATCTAGTAGTTGAGGTACAATCTCAGTAGTAGAGCTATCAGAGGCTTGTCTTCATCGTACTCATTTTTCTTCTCTGATGCCCGAGTTATCAACATTTAATGCACATACTGTGATGTGGATTGAAAATCTTCAGTATGTACTGTCCAAAGGATGACAGCAGTACTCCTTAGTGTGGTCTACAAGGTCCTTTCTGACATGGCTGTTCCCGTTTCTGCACATGTATTCCTAGTAACATCTTCTAATATCTAAGGTTATGCAAATTCCTGCTTATATCATGCTGATTCATGCCCGAGACTCTTGGTGTTCTTCTACCTAGAATATCCTTGCTTTAGTTCCTAAATGGTTACGCTTCCATGCAGAGCCGGAATTAGTCGCATCTGCTGTATGTTTATAAAGCTCTGTGCAAGTCTTTATCAAGGCCCTCGTTGTAATCTCCTGTTGTTCTCACTGTTTCCCCAAACAGAGCCATGAGTTGTATTTGTGCTCCTTTCCTTAATATAATGGTAGCACATGCTCAGTGACATTTACTGAATGAATGAAGCAATGAGTGAATTCCATTTTTTGCTTTAAAACACCCAAACCTGCTACTTAGTAACGATCTAATATCTTAAATGATAAAAGAGCTCTAGCAAGTGTGAAATCTAATCGCTCTGCTTTTTACCTTCACATATATCCATATCTTTATGTATTACTCCTGTTACGCCTTTTGTTTTCTTTTTCGCACTACTTGGAATTGAACCCAGGGCCTTTGTATTTACAAATCCAGCCCCCTCTCCTTTTTTTCCTTTTTTTGAGATGGGATTTTGATAAGTCACTAAATTATCCCAGGTAGGCTTGAATTTATGATTCTCCTCCCTCAGTCTCCCAGAGTGCTGGGAGTATAGTTCTGTACCACCATGCCCAGCTGTTCACCCTCTTGTCATAAAGAAAAAGCAATCCAGCTGCATGTGGTAGCTCATGCCTGTAATCCCAGAACTCAGGAGGCTTAGACAGGAGGCTGAGGCCCTGAGTTCAAGGTCAGCCCAGGCTACACAGTGAGTTCGGCCAGTCTCATAAAACTACTGCCATCTAAGATTTTGTTTACTCAGCCAAACTTCATGAAAAAGTGGATATATATTAGATTTGCCTTTTGCTCCTTAACCTGTTTCATCCTGTTTCTGACCCCACCTGAGGCATTTTACCTGTTGATCAGGCTCACTTCTTTGAAAACCACCCTGCCCCCACATACACACTTGACTTTCACAATGAGAAGTGCGTGGGGGAGTTCCTGTTGCTTAAATGGTGGTCCTATGTTTGATGGGTTACCCTTAAAAGTTGTTTTCCCATTTTTGTATAATCAGTCCTCTTCTCTGTGTGCCCTTAATGATCTTATTCACTTGTGGCTTCAGATTCTGTCTTTAAGGTAATCAACCTCAATTGCTGGATTACTGCTTCTATATCTTGGAAGAATTTTTAAGTAGACAAAAATGAAATTATTATTTTATATATATTTCTGCCTCACTACATCTACTAGTACTGCTTAGATAAAACAGTAATCTTATTTACACTACTGTCAAGGTGCATGTTTCACATGTAGTGTATACTACAAAATCTTCTAATGATCTGAACCACATGGATAATATGAGTTTCATAGTTTCCTCCATATTTTTTTTTTTGAACCACATGGACTTTGGGGATAAAGTAGGGAAATTTCCAGACTCTGTGGAAGCTTGATGATTCTGGTGAGGGCCAGAATTTCCCACTATTCTTCAGCTTTTTTTACACATGCTACCAAAGGGTCTGGTTGTGAAAGAATTAACTGACAATTCTCAATTCAGTATTGCCAAAATCAATCATTGCAGTAGAAATAAAAGGATAAACACTCCTTGTTTTTTTTTTAATTTCAGGGCTCTGGCTCACATCAAATTTCTAAAAGGCAACAGATGGAACAACTGCCTAGAATGAAAGAGATTCTAGTAAAATCGTAAGTTTAGCTATGTCTTTCCTTTCTAATTAATTATATTTGCTTGTAAATGGTACTGATAAAGCAGGTGTCTGTTATATTTTGGAAGTTGATTTTATGGCAACATAGATCATAAGAGAACATAAAGAAGTTTGTTTATGGTTTCTGGTCAGTGCTTATACACATTTTTTAGATCCTGGAAACATTTTCAGTCCTCACACATGGTAAGATACTATTTTTCAAGTTAAGCCAATGCATTACTCAAGGGGAGCTTAAAACTACACTATTGACATTGTATTACAATTAAAATGTCATTCTTAACCGTTTTAGTGAAGAAATACAGCATATTTTCATTGCAGTAGACACTGAAATAAATGTAGATGACAGTATAGTTTGTTTCCTTACAGAAACCAATTTAGGATAAGAACAGAGATTTAGGAGGTTATATGTACACACAGTCTTTCCTGATTCTGTACTAGGTACAGAAGAATTATTCAAATATTCTTTGTTTTATTCAACCTCATCCCATCTAGGGGTATATATATTCATATATAACTTAATACTAAGGATTAAATTGATACATAATCAGTGATAAATGAGAATCCTTTTCAAGTACAAGTCAAGGCAAGAGGTCCTCATAGGATGTATAGTGTAGCAAGTTTCTTTGGTTAATTGATGGTGTAGGAGAGATTAATTAGAGATTAAAGATACAGCAATTTTGCCCAAATTTGTCTAGTCATAGATGATTTATATTCTAATTCATTATCCTTATGCACTTTCATCTTTGGATATAAAATGTAGTTTGCATTATTAAAGTAAGTTCAGACAAAGGATTTCTCTATAAAACCTATTATGCTACTGTGTTCAGGGTACCCCAAGGCCACTCTCATATTCACTAATTCACGAGAAAGACTTGCAGGACTCAGCAGATATTTGTACTTGTGGCTAAAATTTATTACAGAGAAAGGATACAAACTAAAATTAGCAAATAAAAAGGCTCATAGGATAAAGTTTAAGGAAACTAGGTACAAACTTCTGTAGAGCCATTTAATTATTCCAGAAATGAATTATGACAACAGATGACAACATATGAAGTTTTATCCACTCAGAAAGCTTGTTAGGTTCTTAGTACCCAAGGTTTTTTGTTTTTTAAATCAGAAGTGAATCATGTAGACATCCTCTACCTGGTACCTATCAAATTCCAAACTCCCAGAAGGTAAATAGGTTCAGTACAAAGCATTCTGTTAATATAAACAAGTAGACACAGGAATACATTCTTATTATTTAAAGTTTTATATCAGGGTAGGGAACTCTTAACTATTAAATTTCCACACCAGCCAAAGGCAGACTTTTCCAACAAGAACAAGCCTGCTGAATTATCTTTCTTCTGAGAAACCACCTTAGTTATTTTTTATTTTTATATTTATAATTCCATTTCAAATTTCTTTTAAAAAGTTACCACCTCTCCTTCAAATTTGCTTAAACAGCAAAAGAAAATATTTTGCAAATCTTCATTCTAGTTATACACACACACACACACACACACACATACATACATAATCACTAGACTGTCTGTGGGAACTATATGGTTTTCTGTTGAATACTGTTATAGGTTAGATCTCTAAGGGCACCAACTCTGAAATGGGAATCAGCATGGAGAAGTTTATTACTACAGCATTCATAGGAACAACATCTATAGGGGAAGAAAAATAACCAGGTTTAGGCAGAGAGAGTAGGGCTTCGGTGTATCTACAGTCTACATAGCAAACTGATTCATTCATGATCCAAGCGTGGGCTTTGCTTTTCCTGGCTGAATGACCTAGGTCCTTATCCCTGTGGAATCTGAGTCCCTGTCTACCACATTCTTTCTAGACTATGCCTAGTGTCCTTGTCTACTTACTACCAAAATTTGGCAAGTTACTACTACAGGATATCTGAGTAGATCACCTGTGCCAAATGCATTCCTGCTTACCTCCTTATGTGGCAGCAGCTGTATATCAGGCTGATGATTAGCTTTTCTGTGTGTCCCTCCATGCCACCGGTCTGAACAGAGTTTAAGGTGCTGGTACAAAGCGATATGTGACACAGTATGGGATTGCTTCTCTATTCAGCTGGTTCATGTCCTTTAGCACAGTTCATGCTTAATGCCAAATCTATTATTTCCATTTTTAATTAAACCCAGTGTTGAATACAGTGCCAAGCATTTTATATTGGTATATAAAAAATAAGTTTTTAGTGAATTTCTGAGTAAATGAATGGTCAAACAAATGGATGAAAAAGTCCTTTACTTTGTGAAACTATAACCCAAAGCTCATGAAGCAGAGGCATTTCTATATACCTGTATTCTTTCAAATTAAGTGTATATAATTGGTACCACTTTAAAATATTGTTTTTCTGAGTTACTGGCTTAAACCTGGAAGTTAGTACCCTTCTTTTATTTTTTTTGTTTTTTTTCTGGTACCAGGAATCAAACTCATGACCTCGCGCTTGCCAGGCAGGTGCTGTGCTGCTGAGCTAAATCCCCAGCCCCTTCCCCTTCTTTTATTGATGATTCAAATTTGATTCGTATTTGAGTCACCAAGTTTTGGTGTGAGTACCTCACAGGAAAGGATGTACAAATATCCAACAGACACATAAGAAGGTACTCAACACCATTACTCATTAACAGAACACAAATGAAAATCATGAGATACAACCACAAATTTTAAGGATTGATGATTCCAAGTGTTGTCAAGTATATGTGGGAATAAATGACTTATACATGCTGGTAGGAGCGTAAACTTATACAGCCACTTTGGAATACTGTTTAGCATTAATTTTATGTTTAGCTGATAACACACCTACTGAATGGCTCAAAAATTTTACTCCTTAGTTATATTACAGAATAGTGCATACCTTTATAACAAAAGACCTGTAGGATCATGTTTGTAGCAGCTTTATTCATTGACAGTCAAAACTGAAAACAACCTAAATGTTCATCGATGATAGAATGAATACAATTTTATATATTTACATATATAATATATAAATAACAGAAACAAACTAGAGCTTGCATAACATATAATTCATTGTTTTTAGTGGAAGAGGTAAAAAATGAAAGGAAATATATATTTCCATTTACAAAACTTCAAAACAGCTAAAAGTAAACTGTGAAATAAACAGCAATGACAAATGTTAAGGAGAAAGGGACTAATAAAGGAAGGACATGAGGTTATCTTCTAGTATGAGGCAGTATTCTATTAACTTGGGGAGTGGTTACAATTTATAGAGCTGTAAGTTTATGTTTTGTACATTTTTCTGTAAATACTATGCATTAAACAATGTTTTATAGATCATGTATCAATGACATAGAATGTTTGCATTGGTTGATATTCTCATATATGCTTGTGTCAGTCAACTTTCTGTCTACAACAAAATACCTGAAATAATTAACTTATAAAGAGAAAAGATTTCTTTTGGCTCAGAGGTTCAGAGGCTCCAGTCTCGGATCAATTGGTCCCATTGTTTTGGATCTGTAGCAAGCCAGCACAAAACAGTGATAACATATAATAGAGCAAAATCACCCATAGCACAAACTAGAGAGTAAAAAGGAAGAAGAAAGGGTTGGGCCCCCACTATATCCTTCAAGGATGTGGCCCCAGTGACCTAAGGGTTTCCTATCAGGCCCTGCCTCCTAAGGCTCCACTGCCTCCCAACAGCACCACCGTGGGACCAAGCCTTTAGCACATGGACCTTAGTAACATTCAACATCCAAGATATCACAATGATGATCTTAAGACATTGACTTATGCAGTGTATTGGATACATCATGGGAATCTCCTTTTCTCTGATAAGTACTCTCCAGTCCTGGGATACTCTCCAGCCATATTTGTGTGAAGAAATGTCACCATTCTCTTACTACCAATAATTGGACCTGATTCAGCAGAAACCAATCCAATGATTGGACTGAGTAAATCAGACAAATCTGAAACAGTTGGACCTATTGCTTATCACTGTTGAATTTGGAATGTACTAAATAAATTATTTAGTATATAGAGGGGGAAAAATGCATTCTTTAGTGGTCTGGAATAAAAGCATCTGTGGGAAGTTAATTTTAGGACTCATTAAAAGACAGATTGTTAGAGAAACCTCCTTTTGATTAAAAAAACAGAGTAAAGAAACACAACCAACACATCCAACAATAAGGGGATAATTCCATAGTTTATTATAATATTATACTACTGCAAAAATTAGACTCTAGAAGTATACATAAATTGATATAGAAAAAAATATTTACTTATGTAGTAAAAAGATGCAAAATAGTTTGGGATTTTAGATGGTTTTGATTTATACATTTTAGTATTTTCTATAGGAATATGTATAATTTGAAGTCAGTTATTTACCTGGATGATGATAAGAAAATACTGACTAAAAAATAAAATAAAACCAGTTTTAATTATATTAAATGAGGAAAAATAAAATAAATCCATCCTGTAGATAGCTTATGGAAGTCCTAAGTCAAAATAACAATGTAAATATTTGTAACTAATAAAGGTATTTTTAAAAGTGGTGAGAAGGTAGTAAATGTAGATTTGGACTGGTTTTGGAGCCACTAGACAAATAAATTTTGTCTACACCACATATTGTTTAATGTGCCTTGAGAGGATATACTTTCAAACTCATTCTACTTACCTGTAAAATAAAGATGATAAAAGCCAAGTTGAATGGTTGGTATGCAAATTCCAGGTTATTGAAAAACCTCTAGTTCAATAAACATTAGCTATAATCATTACTCTTCAGTGTATCATGCTTTATTGTGTATAAATAATTTGCAAAATAACAAAATATTGTGAAAAAAATATGACAATTTAAAACTGCAAGTAACAAATCTACAACACTTTTATATAATATTTCAAGGAACCTAGCTACTCTCATTTAATTAAAAACCACAATACTCAGGTGTCTAAAATGGTTTCCAAACTTCATTGAGTGTGACTGATATAATACTGTGACCCAGTATGTTCACATATATACTTACATATAACTAAAACAATTAAGTAATATATGATATAAAAAATGTATTGGTACATGTTTGCGATCACAAGATTGTGTAACCACTACCACTAATTCTAGAATATTTTTCTTTTCTCACAAAGAAATGTCCCACTTATTAGAAGTCAGTTCCCATCCCTCCCTCCCACTGATACTTGGTAATCACTAATATACTTTTTTTTCTGTAGATTTTTCTATTTTTGTTATGCCATATGAATGGAAGTGTGAAATATATGGCTGTGTGTCTGGCTTCTTGTCACAATAATTTTATTCAAGAGTCATATATGTTGGAGTATGTACCAGTACTTTACTCCTTTTTTTGTGACTGAATTACATTCCAGTTTTTGGTATACCACCATTTATCCAGTCATCAGTTGATGGACATTTGGGCTGTTTATACCTTTTCACTATTATAAATATGCTGCTGTGGATATACCTGTACAAATGTTATGTTTATGTTTTCAGTTCTTTTGGGTATATAGATGGGAATACAACTCTGGACTGCCAAACTGCTTTCTGAAGTGGCTCTACAACTTATATTCCCACCAGCAATGTATTAGGGTTCCAACTTCTCCACATCCTTGTTAATATTTTATACATATATAAAATTATTCCATAGGTTTCTGAAGCTCTCATTTTTCTATATTCTTTGCTGTCTGTTGCTCAAACTGAGTAATCTTAGTTGATATATCTTCAGCTTCACTGATTCTTCTGCCTGCTCTCATGTGCTGTTAAAAATCTTTTACTGAACTCCTCATTCAGTTATTTTATTTTTCAGCCCAGAATGTCTATTTGGTTCTTTTTGAAAGTAATTTATATCTCTTAATATTGATATTACTTATGTGGCAAAACATTATTCTCATATTTTACTCCAGTTCTTTAGATATGGTCATCTTTAGTTTTTTGAATGTATTTTAAATAGTAAATTTAGAATCTTTGTCTAGAGTCTAACATCTGGACTTCCTATTGCTTACCTTTTTTCTTACACAAGGCCATACTTTCTCATCTCTTTACATGCCTTGTAATATTTTTTGTTATTGTTAAAAACTGAACATCATTTAAAATAATATCATGTAGCCACCCTCATATCGGATTCTTTTTCCTTCTCAGGCTTGTTTGTCGTAGCTGTTGTCATTCATTTTTATTCAGTATTTTTTCTGGGTTTTGTTTGTTTTTTGCAACATTGGGGATTGAACACAAAGTGTTTGCACTAAGCTACATCCCCAGCCCTCTTCCTATGTTTTATTTTGAGACAGGATCTCACTGGTAATTTAGTGACCCAGGCTGAGCTTGAATTTGTAATCCCCCTGCTCAACCTCTCAGAGTTCTGGGATTATAAGCATGCACCGTCACCAGTAACTTTCCTGAAATCATTCTGTAAAGTCGGTTTTCTTTGCCATATGTGGTCACTAAAGTCTCTGGTTAGTTAGCTAGGTGGTTAGCTAATGACTGGACAGGGATCATTAAATGTGTGAAATCAGTAAAATCTCCCCAAATTTGCTGAGGGGCTCAGTTATATGTTTGGGCATGCTTTCAACAGGCAAATTATAACTCTACCTTAACCTTTACTTCTTGCTTCTGCAGTGCCTCTAGGTCAGCTAGAGGCAAGAAGTTAGGGCCTGTTTAAGTCTTTCCTGAGGAAGCGCACAGCCCAATGGAGAAAGTTACATATGTGTTAGAGTTAATTAGTGTTTACTTTTCAACTTTTCCTTTTAAGCTTCCCATTTTGCCCCTTTGGCCTCTACTATTATTTATGAACACAGGTAGCCAGAAAGTTAAACAATAGCTTTTAACTGTTTCATCAAATACCCTGAGAGGAAAAGCTTTTGACTTTGGATCATTTCTTAACTAGCTTTGTAAGTGAGTCTTTCAGGTAATCACTGTATTGCTTAAATCATGAAAGTGCTCTGGAAAGTAATGAGGCTTTAAAAGAATTCCAATCCCATTCTGTCCACTGTGGATGTCTGCCAGGCTATGGTTTTCAGTAGAATTTTGGGCTGTTAGTTTTCAAGGCTACTACAGAGCTCTGGAAGAAAGTGAGGAGCAATGGGTAAGAGCACAGCAAGTTAAAAATGCTACATAGTTGGCTGCTACGACTAGTTTCCACTGAGTTTTTTTTAATAAATTCTCTAGAATTGCTACAAGACTTTCATAAATTTCCAGAGAAATGAAAAATTCATTGGCCATTTTTGTCAATTTATGGAGGAGAGAACTTTCTGTTCATGACTAGGAAAATGACAGGTTTTTATTTGGTCGTGTTTACAGACATCATTCTCCTAACTAAAATATTTTTAAAGCATATTTTGTGGAATCAGTGTGGTTTCTTATTGTCTTGGGCAGGAATATAAAGAAGATGAGATTTATTTATTTATTTATTTATATTTTGTTTTTTTCTGGTGCAGGGAATCAAACTCACAACCTCGCGCTTGCCAGTCAGGTGCTGTTCCACTGAGCTAAATCCCCGGCCCCTAGAAGATGAGATTTATAAAGACACATAAGTCAATCAGGAAAAGAAGATCCCATTAAAATTTCAGAATAGGAATTCACAGATTGCTTTATATTGTTCTCATTCATTCTCTCTGTTTCTTTCTCTCTCCCTCCCCCCTCCTTTCCTCTTTCCCTCTGTCTCTCTTTCTCTCTTTCTGCTTTCAGGCAGAGCTTTTTCACATTGGGGTGTCTGATAGTCTATTTCCCAGCCTTTGGAGTATCTACACTTCAGTTGGCTGCCCCTGTAGCTATAGTGATGTGGTATAACACATGACTGCTGTGATGGCTTTCAACGTGATTGCCTTGAGAAATGCCTAAGAGATAAGTAAAGCACACTTCTGGATGTATTTGGGTGTGTTATAGGTGTATGACCTTGTGTAATATGTCTGGTCTCTGGACTCCTCTTTTGGGGCCCTTCCCCTGCTTTCTGTGTCTGAGATGCCATGAGTTGAGCAACTTTCCTCCACCATGCACTTCCTCCATGATGTTTCTGCCTTGGTGCCAAGTGAGTATGGACTGAAACCTCTGAAACTGTGAGCCAAAGTAAACCTCTCCTCTTTGAAATTGTATCAGGTGTTTTGGCCCAGCAAAGGGAAGCTGCCCAAAGAAATCTGCCTAAGAATGCACGGTAAGCAGAAAATATGCGCAGGAAGATTTTCATGTGAAAGACTGGACTAAAGAACTAAGCACAATATACAGTTCTCTAAATATGGCATATAATGTTTATGTTGTACACAATGGTGATTGAAAAATCATGATCAATGCTTACCTTATTTCAGGGGAAGATACAATCCAGTTAATCAGAAGACTGCTAAGAGAGGACCAGTAAAAAAGATTACAAGATCAAATCATCTTCCAAAACTCCACCAGTGATTTCAGAACTGCATGGATTTCAACTTTTTCCTTTTCTTTTTTTTCATGTATAATATTCATCTTGTGAAGTTAATGTTTAATGTGTTATTCAGGGAATGAAATAAGATAAGAAAGAGCTGCCAAATCTTCTCTAGTTCTTACAGAAGTTTATTCTCTCATTTGCATGAATGGGATTTTCTCTGTAACCCTAAAATATCTAATAGAAGTGCTTGTGATTTTTAAGTGTATATTGAAAAACTTGAAGGTTGACATCATTACACTTGCTTTTAATAATATAGTCATGATTTTCTCTAATAGTAATATTACTGTTACATTGGTTTCTGACTGGCTCTCAGCTAAAAACATGAGTTTACAAAAATTTTTGTACTGTTAGCTTATATCATGCTCAGCTGTTTACATTTAAACAAAATTTCAAACCAAACACTTACTAAATTGATTGAAATATCACGGCTTTATGGGAACAATCTCCAGTCATGCTGCTTATATTTCCCACTTTACCATAAACTTACGTGGTCTTAGGCAAATTCCTTTACTTTGTCTTCATTTTCCACACCTGTAAAATGACAAAGGAAAAATATATAATTTCTAAGTTTTATCACCATTTTAGAAAGTGCCTGCTTGGTCCTGCCACTGAGTACTTGGTGACTTAAATCATTTTATTATCATTAATTCACAATGATGGCATAGTTTTTGCAAGTGTCACAGTATTCAAGTCTAGATATAGAGATAGAATGAGGATAAGAGTTTTTTTGAGCATCTGTAAAATTTACTGGATGTTTTTATTCATATTTAGACTTTGTCATTTAGACAGTTTTTGTGTAACTTGGTTACATAATCCTGGTTACATAACTTGGTTACAACACATAATCTTGGTTGGGAATATATCCATATATATTATATTTGTCCATTTTAAAAAGTGGAATTATCGGACTTCACATTTCCAGAAGTCGCACAGATTATAGCCTTTACCTAATGGTGGTTTTTGTTTTTTTTTTACCTATATGTAGAACTAAACTTAAATTTTGTTCAGTAATGAATACCAGCAGTGAAAGCAGTGATGAATACCAAATGCACTTCTGTAACTACAGTACCTCTACAGATATTTCTTTAAGGAAGGATACGTACATTACATATAGCCAAAAAAATCTTTATGTGACTTTAGAATGTAATGCAGAGAAATACAAAGCAACTTCCTGTAAGTTATTCTGTATTGGGACTATTTGGAAATATGTTCCCTGTTCTTAAATAAACTAGAGATATTAGGTGCCATGACCCATATTACTAGACAAACACTAGATTTTTATGTCTTATACCAGGTTTCCTAGCATTAGCAGCAAATTGATAATTTAAATACTATAGCAATTACAATTATTAATGAAAAATAAATGTTTATTTCTTTGACATAGAGGTAAGCTCCTATGGAAACTAGATTGAGACTGAGGATGGTATATTAGTTGAATGTTTTACCACAGGGACTCTTCCACATTCAAATGTTAACTTGGTTGGAACTATTTTGGGTGTCATGCTTTTTTTAAAATAATTTTTTATATAAGATCTTATTAAGTCATTCAGTTGCACAGGCTTGAACTTGTGACCCTCCTGCCTCAATGAATACCATTTATTAAAAATAAGTGCTCATGCCTATAATCCCAGCACTTAGGGAAGCTGAGGTAGGAGTACTGCAAGTTTGAGTTTGACCTGAGCAACTTAGCAAGACCCTGTCCCAAAATTTAAAACCACTTTAAAAGGGCTATGAACATAGTTCAGTAGTAGAGCATCCCTGGGTTCATTTCAGTCCATAGAATGGCAAAATAAAAAATTACTAGAACAGGATAAAAAAGACAGAGAATAGTGAGTTTTGGCAAGGATGTGCAGGAATTGAAATCTTCATACGTTGCTGGTGGGGATGTAAAATGGTACTGCAGTTTTGGAAAATTAAGTTCCTCAAATGGTTAAATACAGAATAAACATACGGTCCAGCATTTCCACTCCTATGTATGAGAGAAATGGAAGAATATGTCCACATAAAAATGTGTACAGTAATTCATAACAGCGAAAGAAGGAAAACAGCCCCAATGCTTACTGAGATAAAATACGGTATATCCACACGGGGATTATTTTTCAAAAGAATGAAGTACTGTTACGTGGTATAACATGGATAATTCTTGAAAACATTATCGTAAGAGTCCAGCAATAAAAGACATCATAATACATAGTGCCACTTATATAAACTTTTTACAATAGGCAAACCTATAGAGATAGAAAGTAGTTTAGGATTTGCCTCGGGCTGGGGAGTGTTGATGATGGGGAAGGCTGTTAATGGATACAGGGTTTTTGGCTGAGGGTATGGAAAATATTCTCAAACTGATGGTGATGACAGTTGCTGAAGTCTGTGAATATACTGACAATCAATGAATTTCATGCTTTAAGTAGGTTAATTGTATTCTTTGTGATTTATACATCAATAAAGCTGTTACAAGAACATGCTAAACATACATTAGTATTGTCCTGTACATTAGTCAATAAATATAAAATATTTGATCTTTTAAATGTGACCTTAAATTCATCATCAGTAGTGCTATGACTGAGTCAAGAATATAGTTTTGAGTAGAATTTTCCAAGATTTTTCAAAAACTGCACTAGTCAGAGTAATAATGAAGAGATACCTATATGCTAATTCGCAATATTTTCCTTTGACTTCATTAACTTTCCATCTCTTGCTTAATAATCTTGTAAAGATACTTATGTGACACTTACTAATTTTTGACTGGGACTACATTTTTTAACTTGTGAAAAGCTATGTAGTTTTTGTTTCAAAGAAATTATTTCTACTTGTTCATCATCTTCATTAGTTCTGTTATATATGACTAGTGGTTACAAAGCAAAGCAGAGTTACCTTCCTCAGTTTTTGTATTAATGTGTTCATATCTTCCTGAATAAGACATTTTTTATTTGGGACTAAGAATTATTCTGGCAACAGGAGCCTATTGATACTTCTATTTGTTTTTTATTTCTTTTTGGTATGGACACAAGTGAGGACCTAGCTAGACTTATAGAGCACAAATTATATGCCTTTTTAAATGAATTACTTGAATTGCAGATTCTTAATTAATATATAAATTTATTTTTGATTTTTCAGATTTCAGAGTAAAAGAATTATGGCAACAGTAATGCTGAGATTTTGTTATTTATTATTTTATTTTATTTTTTGTCCTTTTGAAACAGGGTCGCATTATGCTGTTCAGGCTTGAATTCCTCCTACCCCAAGGCCTACCCCGAGAACTACAAAGATGTTTGCTCCTATAAGGATTGGAATGTGAGTGGTTCTAGTCTTGCAGTTTGGATGAATGTCTTGAGCTTGGGATAGAAGAGAAACTTCTGTGGTATTTTGAGAATTTATTGTTAGGGCTGGGACTAGGAGGACCAACATGCATGATCCTGTCCATCTTGGAGGGAGACAAGTATATGCTACCTTTTCACATCCTATAAACCATCCCTTGGGTGGGCATATGACGTTGTGTGTGTGTAATGTAATGAGTACAGTGGGGTAAATCTTGTAGATTAAGGGAGGAGTTTTTGACCTGGGAGATTAGGCAGGTGAGACTGGCTGACCACTACTGAGAGTGATGGATCAATAGGGAACCTACCATGGCTGGGTTATGTGGAAAAGACAGGTGAGAGGTATTCCAGTGTGTGGGAGCTATCATGTATAGATCCTGCTGGTAAGAAACACAGAGCCAACATTCTGTAAGGTTTGAGGAATGCGCAAGAGTGTCATAGGCATGTGAGAGGAGCTGAGGAATAGGGGGGATGATTTTTTGTTGTAGGACAGTTGTGGGGTAAGCTGGGATATCAATAGAAAGTGGGGTAATTAGTTGGGTTTTTATAGTTAGGAAGTTGCCATTAGGTGCTCCCTGAGGGGGTGCATGCTAATACCACCAGCCATCATTTATATTATAGGAGATTGGAAAGACCAGTCCTCTAGTTTTACCCAAAAGAGGTTGAGAGTGTGCCACACTAGGGATACAAAATGCCACTTGCCTGGCACCATCACTCCAGTCTGTAAACCAGGCTGACATGAATGGGCCTGCATCTTTGAAGATGCATCTAGTGTGATTGATGACTATGATTTCACATGCCCGAGTGTCATAATAGTAGACACTGGCATCAATGCATTTACATTGGCAGAGAGTGGATGGTCGAGGGGTAAGATACAGACTAATCGGGAAGCAACAGACCCTGACAGGAGATGAACACTTTCGGTTTCCAAAACCTGTTAATGTTAAAATCTCTCCCACCTTCCAAGTAAGTTGGATTGGGACAATTTGACAGTAGGGTATCACGTATGTGACTTTAGGATTTGAGGGAGTAAAGTTGTGAGACCCTCTCAATCCTTGGGGTCAGATAGAGAGAATGTTAGGGTCTAAATGGATTGCGATTGTGTGGCCAGAGATGGAGTGAAAAGAACTGAGAGAAGGAATATGAGACTTGGAAGTTGTATCATGTTTGAAAACGGTTGTGGAGAATGGCAGAGAAGTGTGTCTGTTGAGGATGGTGGTAAGGTAAACAGTTAAGAGTGTGGAGCCCAAGAGTAACCGGAAAGTAGAGAAATATAAGAGTTGTCTTATGTGAGAATTGAGAATCTTTCAGGCAGACTGTCCTGAGTCTGACTGCAAATGTGAGGATTATCAGGACAAGGAGTACTAAAATCCAAGCAGAGTAGAAATACATTGGTTACCCCAGCAACACACTAGAGGTCTTAGTGAGTTTGAGGCAGGTGGGGGATAGAACCTGGATGACCACTCCAGTGTTGAAGGCATGGAATCTGGAGTAGCTGGGTTGTTAGGGCACATCTTCACTTGTGTCACATGGAACCAGGATGAGAGGCTAGCAGCCTTGATCACAGTGGGTGTTGGAAGCACGATTAAGTGGGGTCCAGACCATCTTGGCTGTAATCCTGTGGGCTTAAAAGATTTGAGATATATTAAGTCTCCAGGGGCTATAGAAGGCTCTGGCTGTGTACCATCTACGGATTGTGGAAGACAGAGGTCAGCATACTGTTGTATCAGGTGTTGGAGGAAGGATAAAACTGGAATGTAATCAGCAGTAGGGGGAAGGTTATCAGGAGCTGGGAAGTCGTGAAGCAGAAATGGCCTACTGTACATGAGCTCAAAAGGACTAAGAAAAGTAGGTGCCTTAGGGAGTGCCCTTCTCCCCTCTAGTTAGCGATAAGGGGAGAAGCTGAGGCCATGGCAGGTGTAACTCTAGGATAAGTTTTGTGAGGTCTGTCTTTAAGAGAC